TTTTKKTTTTTTTTTTGTCATTTGTTTAGCAAAAAGATTTATTTGAAAAACTCTGTGTCAAATTTAAATTTAATATTTAAATAGTAGGTAGATAAACGGGCGAGCAAAACATGACATATTATTATGTGTGGCATATTTCCGAATAACCAATTAATTTAATTAATTCAAAAAAAAAAGCTAATTAATGTAATTAATAACTTTCCCGTTTATTACAAGTGTTAAAAATGCATGAAATCAAATTAATCTATGGCAATAAATTAATATTTTAAAAAATGAACTCTTTATAAATTACACTATTTTTTCGTTCTACTCACGAGAAACTTTTGAACGAAGAAACTTATGATTTTAGAACTATGCTCATTGTTTATACATATAAGATACAACTAGGTGTTAACATACATAAAAAGTATCACACATTTTATATAAATAATTGAAAAAAAAAGGTTTTAACTCGCATTTGTGATGGTAATTACATGACATATAGGTAACTTTGTAAAACAAATCCATAAACATGATATTACTCTTACATGTTACATGGTTTTATATCTRCTCGTATTTTATTCTAAATTAAGATGTTTAATAATATTTAATATGTCCTATATTAAAGTACGAAATTAATAATAACAATTTAARCAAATGATAATCAACAAAAAATTATTCATTCTGAATGTTTCCCTTTGTTATGGTTAAATGTCTGATTTATTTCTACTATTTTAGCTACATAATGGACCAAAGTCCTATACCAAAATAGTAAATAGGTAAGAAAAATTTCATCAATTGACAGTAATAAAGAAATCACAACATATCCGAAAAAGAAAAAAAAGTTGTTAAGTTACAAGAATAATATTTTTAATTAAAAACATATTTCTAATATGAAAAAAAATGCCAAATTTAAAACAATCACGATTAAAGATGAAGAAATCTAGAGAGATGGAAACATAGCCAATCGAAGAGCACGAGGGAAAAATTGGTTTTTTATTAGGAAACGACAAATAAATCATTACTTCTAGAATAGAAAGAAGTAATTCTTAATTTTTTGATTTTGGAAAACTGATGCTACCATTCAATAAAAATAATATTAGCAACTTATTGTCTTCTATAATCTGAAGTAAATATAAACCAATGGATTTCTGAATATAATTAGAGGGTTCATTAGATATAGATGTTTGTAAAATAAGCAAGTCATTCAAAAATGTATGTAGAACATTCTCCAACTTATCTTTAAGTGGATAAGTTTTGTGACCAAATTAGAGAACCAAATTATAATAACAATATATTTCCTAACCCGTGTGCAAAACAATGTTTTAAGGAAAATAATATTTTTGAATCTTTCGTGTGTTTCTGAAAACAAAACCTAGCTTCTTAATTATACATAATATAAATTCATTAAAACCCTCCAATCACCAACAAACCAAAGTTTGGTGCTTTCGTCTAATTATATATTTAATAAAATTTCCATAAACCTTAAGTACAACTAGAGTCAAGAATAATAAATAATAATGAAGGGCTAAATAACAATGGATTTATACAATTCTATACTATAATTTAACAGTGAAAACAATAACTAATAAATTCATTTTAAAAGCAGAACATTTATATAGGTATTAAAATTATGTATAGTACGCATTAATAATATTAATAAGACTCGTAACTATATAGTTAAATATTTTAATACTACAACATTAAAAATGGTAAGATATTTTAATACTACAGTGTGTCATTCAATGATAAGTTTAAATATAAAAACAGAATCAGCTATAAAATGGATTATTACTTTAAAAGTAATTATAAGGTAATATTTATTTTTATTCAGTATTTTTGAATTTCAGGCGTGTTTATATTTTAAATACCTATATAGTGCTTTGCATTAGTAAGTATTCGATTGTTTTGAGTTTTTGAATTATTTACATATATTATTGTTATAGAAATGAATACTGAGAAATCGTAATGAATTAAGTGACAACTGGTAATGTACTAATGTCTAAAGGATGGCATGGAATAAAAG